GGGGAAAAAAAAAGGGACAAGGGCATTAAAATATGCATAAAAGATTGAATACTAGAACAAAATATACATGTTTTAAGCACTAAAAGAAATTTTAAAATAACACGGCAAAGAAAACACTAGAGGAAGAAACAATCATTATTGTGTGTATAATGCCTATAAAACAAAACGTTCTAAGAAGACATTAGTCCTATTACATATTCATTCCATTATAAAGCCTCTTTAATAAAATCAATGTGGAACCAGTACATGAGTTGACTGATCAATAGAATAGAATAGAAAATCTATAAACAGCCAGGCGCGATGGCTCAGGCCTGTAATCCCAGCACTTTGAGAGGCCAAGGCAGGTGGATCACGAGGTCAGGAGATCAAGACCATCCTGGCCAACATGGTGAAACCCTGTCTCTACTAAAAATACAAAAATTAGCCAGGGTGGCGGCATGCACCTGTAGTCCCAGCTACTTGGGAGGCTGAGGCAGGAGAATTGCTCGAACCCAGGAGGCTGAGGCTGAGATCATGCCACTGCACTCCAGTCTGGGCAACAGCGCGAGGCTTCACCTCAAAAAAAAAAGAAAGAAAAAAAAGAAAGCCTATAAACAGACTCTAGTACATGTGGCACCTCAAAACTAGGGCAAAGAAGCACTTTTATTAAATGGTGCTGGACATAAATTGCATTTGGAGAAGGAAAAATAATTAAAACTTTACCTATACCACATATTAGAATAAACTTAAAATGAATCAGACACCCAAATGTAAAAACAAAAATAAAACCATGTGAGTACCACAAGAAAACCTAGATGAAGTTACCTGCAATCTGGACTTAAAATACAAATCCAATAAAAGCAATGGTTGATAAATATGATTACATTTAAAAGCTTTTACAAGACAGAAACCAAGGCAAACTCATAAGACAAATAATCTAAGAAAAAATATTTGTTACATATTTTGCAGATAAGAGGCTAGTATCCCTGAGACATAAGATCTCTCAAAAATTGAAGGAAAAAGACTAAAAGCACAAGAGAAAAATGGGCAAAAGACGTGAAAACAGGGTTCACGAAAAACACATAAAAGTATAATCTATATGAAAAGACAATCAACTTTGCTCATAATAACAGAATTGATGAAAATCAGGTTTCTCACCATTGAGTAAGAAAATTAACAAATACAGAAAAGAGCAAGACCATGATGAACTCTGTGGCGTTGGACTGGAACTGGAGATATCAGTCTGAATTCATTTTATACACACACATATACATAATTACATATACATATATTTATATGTCCATATGTTTGCATACACACACACACACACACACACACACGTGCTCCTAGCTCAGTATGCTGAAATGCTCTATGAAAAATGACACTGTAAAAGCGTTTGCCCACGTTTTCTGCACTACATACCATTCTCCACTACATGGAACACAGGCTCCTTGGAAAAATGACTGAATTCGGACGTAGAGGAGGAAAAGTACAAGATAAGACTGAAATATTTTGTTATACCAGAAGGTAAGTAAGTGCTCAAAGAACAATAGAAACATGATCGAAGACATGGAATCCACCTTGATAACTCCCTTAAAAACATTAAAACTGGAACATCAAAATAAATAACAGGTTGGGCACAGCACTCACGCCTGTAATCCCAGCACTTTGAGAGGCCAAGGCAGGCAGGTCAATTGAAGTCAGGAGTTCAAGATCAGCCTGCTCAACATGGTGAAACCCATCTCTACTAAAAATACAACTATTAGCAGGGCATGGTGGTGCATGCCTGTAGTCCCAGCTACTGGAGAAGCTGCAGCACAAGAATCACTTGAACCTGGGAGGTGGAGGTTGCAGTGAGCCAAGATTGTGTGCCACTGTACTCCAGCCTGAGAGACAGAGGGGACTCCATCACAAAAACAAAAATACAACAACAGAAATAACAATAAGATAAAATAATAACGACAGACGTAACACATTAAATAAAATAAGACTCTGTGAGTTACATTAATATAAGAAAATAATGGAACAGAGGAAAAGTTTCTTCTTTTGTTTTTTGAGACAGACTCTCCATTGCCCAGGCTGGAGTGAAGTAGTGTGATTGCTCATGGCTCACTCCACCCGTAACCTCCAGCTCAAGCAATCCTCCCACCTCAGCCTCCCAACTTTCCAGGCTCAAGCAATCCTCCAGCCTCAGCCTCTGGAATAGCTGGGACCATAGGCATGCACCACCACAAGCAGATAATTTTTTTTTTATTTTTTGTAGAGACAGAGTCCCCCTGCCTTGCTCAAACTGGTCTCAAACTCCTGGGCTCGAGCGATTCTCCAATCTTGGCCTCCCAAAGTATTGGGATTACAGGCGTGAGCCATTGTATCCAGCCAAGAAGATTTTTTAATAATAGATTACTAACTAATAAATGAAGAAAGATGGTAACCATTTTTGCAGTAATTGGTTCAGGTAATAATCATCAATGTATGTTAAAAATGATGAAAATTTGATCAGGCATAGGCCATTATATGTAGTCTCAAAGTATGTTCTTAAAAATTACTTATTAATTACAAGGGAAAAGTGGTTATCTCATGATGGAGAAATCTAGGACACATTGCAAACTCACTAAAACTAACATCACCAATATCGGGACAAATAGCATCATGTACCTCCAGATATGATGCTCTGAGAAAGGCCAATCTCACTTATTCCTGTGGCATTCTGTAAGAAAAGCATGACCCAAATGTAATAGTGAAGAAATATCACGAATTAGCCCAACATCAGGCAAACCCAAATTGATGGATATTCTATGCAATAATTAGTCTGTATTTTTCAAAAACATGAAGGTCATGAAAAATCGAAAGACTACAGAGTGGTTGCAGATGAAAAAAAATCATGAGTGCTAACAGCGATTTGTGACCTGGGACTCGGTATCAATCTCCCTCTCTCATACAGATATATAGTACTTGAATCCATGTTACAATCCTAATTTGGGCAATTATACCGAGGATATGAAAGATAAAATTTTTGATATTAGTATATATACCCTGAAGTATTCTGGGCTAAAGGGGCATGATGTCTCAACTTATTCCCCAAATGATTCATGAAAGTTATTCATTTCTTACCCTCAGTCCTTTGCCAAAGTTTTTCCAGTTATATTTTGGTTGGATGAAAATCATCCTCTAGTAGACTCTTCAAAAATGGCTCATTAGGAGCGTTCCTTCATTTCTGCCATGTTTAAAGCTGCTTTTCTATAGCCGTGATAGCTAAAGACGAGCTTAATTGGATATAAAACTTTGGTTCACACTTTATTGCCTTGATTTTCTTGAAAATGCTGTTGAGTTGCCTTGTTTTCTCTGTTGCTCATGAGAAATCTGATGCCAATATAATTCTCTAGTCCTTTTACCTTTTTGCCTAAAAGCCATGAAGATTTTTGTCTCTATCCTGAAATAAACAATTTAATAGGATATGCCTCAAAGTTCATTGTTCCAAGTCATTAATCCCAGGTACCTAATAAATTCTTTTAATACAAAGTCAGGCTGGGAGTGGTGGCTCATGCCAGTAAGCACTTTGGAAGGCCAAGGCAGGAGAATTGCTTGAGCCCAGGAGTTTGGGACCAGCCTGAGCAACATAACAAGACCCTTTCTCAAAAAATAAATAGATAAATAGATAAATAGATGTGCGTATACATATGTACATATATATGTGATACATATATATATGAAGTCAGTCCTTTCTTTGTTTCCAGAAAGTTTTCTAGAATTAGAGTTTTAATTATTATATATGATTCCATTATTTTGTTTTTCTTCTTCTGGGATTTCAGTTATACCTAGAGCAACTTTTTTTTTTTTCTTACGTTCCTTTCCAATTATTTTACCCTAAACTTTTTTATTTCCTTTATTACTTCATTTTCACTCTCTTGGTTGTTTTTCTACTTTTCCTTTTGCTGAATTTTCATTCAAATATATTTTCTCTTAGGTATCTTGTTATATCTAAGAATTTAGTCTTTCTTTCTGATATTGGATATTTTTCTTCTTCTTTCTCTTTGCTAAATTCAAGCAACTGTACTTTTCCTTCTTTTTTTTTAGAAGAACAGCCTGTTGTAAGGTAGGCGTGATGCCCCCCACCGCCGCCTTTTTTTTTTTTTTTTAAGACAGGGTCTTGCTCTGTCACCCAGGCTAGAGTGCAGTGGCATGATCTCAGCTCACTGCAACCTCTGCCTCCTGGGTTCAAGTGATTCTCATGCCTCAGCTCCTGAATAGCTCGGATTACAAGCACGTGCCACCACGCCCTGCTAATTTTTGTATTTTTGTAGACACAGGATTTCACCATGCTGGACAGGCTGGTCTCGAACCCCTGACCTCAAGTGACCTGCCTGCCTGGGCCTCCCAAACTGCTGGGATTACAGGCGTGAGCCACTGCACTGGGGCCAGTGATGCCATCTTGAAAGGACACCGCCGTGATGACTGACATTTAGCCTCCACATACCAAGGTGTTCTGCAGCAAGGTCTTCAAACAATGCCTGGACTGTTTGATACGTAACTCATCAAAAAGCTGCTGATCTAATACACACAGTGGTCACATATCTTGGCAAAAAAAAAAAAAAAAAATCTGAGGATATAACCACCTGCACGCATTTTGCCATAAATGCTTGTTCTTTAAAGATTACTTTCTGGAGGGTAGATGCAGGGATCTTCCATCTCACGATTGCCCAGGACATTGCTGCTGTTTGTAAGTCCCAGTTAAATATTTCTTGTTGAGAAACTGAATTTGTCAACCTCTTTTCTTCAGCCTCTCAGCTCCCTCAACCTTTGGGAGTATGATTTCATGCATCTGCTCACCAGAGAACAATTTTTGCTCATTCTTATTCTTTGTTTTTGAATTTCTGTTTCAAGATGCCTTTTAATATCTTGAAGTACATATTTGGGAATATTTACTTCCATTTAGAATATATTTTTTGCTTCATGGCTGTTGGTTTTTAGACATTTTTCAGTTTAAAAAAATTTAGGGTGGACTTTCGATTTCTGCAAATTATTTTATCTTATTTCCTCTTCTATCTTCTGAGCAATGTTTTAGACCCCTTCCCCCAACCCCAACTATCCACAAGTCTTTCAACAGCTTCAGAGAAAACTCTGCAGGAAACAGGTGTTCATTTTTGTACACTAAACCAATCTGAAATTTGTAAAGCCTTCAGTCTTTGAATAATATTGCAAGCATGGGATTTGCATGCATTTATTTTTTCTCATTAATCTCTATTTTTTTTTTGAGCATTCATGGAGAGATTTGAATCTAGACTGCTGGCATTACCTTCCTACCCAGAGACTACTTCAATAACTGATTTTGAATAAATAAAAGCATTCAATGATATTATGATTTTATTTATAAGCAGAAAGTAAAAATCTTACAACACATAGAACATATTAGATTTTACAAGATCTTCTGAAACAAGAATTACAGAGATTGTCATATATAATTATAAATTACAAAAATGTGAGCTGTTTTGTTAAGAAAAATAATTTTCTCAAGGAAAAAGCATTATATTCAAAGTGCTAAATCTTATGTACTAGACCAGCTTCAATTCTAACACAAATATATGTGTGTTCCTTTTCATTTCACTGTCATCCTCAACTTAAACTAGGCCTAAGATTTTTCTATTCTATGCCAAACTTTTGGAAATTGAGTAGTGCACATTTTAAATAAAAAGGTACTGCTTTTGTCTTTACGCCATTTTTGCTGAATGCCTGTATAAGAGTTTAATACTTGGGCACTTAGGACCCCTCTTTATGTTCTATAACTAAAAGAACCAGTGTATTTGTAAACTAACTGGGGCATGGCAGTCAATCCAGATTTGCAGCAAACCTTCACCCATATTGCAAACCAGATGGAGAACTTAACTATTTTATAGTATCTAGCAGCTGTCTTCTTTCTGTATTCACATGCATAGAGCCAAAACCCACAGCCTGCTGTGTGCCCCTATGAAGTAGGAGGCTTAGAAATCACATTTTTCTAAGTTTTCCTTCGTTTCACTTCTAAAATATTCATAAAGCATTAACCAGTTTGATGGTACACCAAATAAGCAAACACAAAGAAGTCCCATCCAAATGTAGCCTGGTATCTATGCAATAGGTAACTTCATTTTACCATGTGGTATACTCACAAATGTTTTACTACATGGTTTGTACACAAATTGGGAGTAAAGATCAGTGAATTGCCCTCTGCTATAACTTATTGCTCAATAGAAGACTGTTATTTTTTAAAATGGCAACAAAATCTCACTAGCCAGAAAGACCTGCATATGGTTCATCTCTTTCTGGTATGCGCTAAATCAGAGCCTTAAAGAGAAATAGGTGGGGAAGCCCAATATAATGTTCTCATTACAGAAGACGAATGGTAAAACAGATGGTAGAGTATAAAGCAATTCCAGCTCTTTATCACTTTGATTTTTCCGGAATTAAACATTTAGACCACAGTGATTTTCAAATATATCCGTGAAAAAGCCAGAAAACAAAGAAGTCATGCCTATATTCCTGGAATTCAAGCCACAGTCATGGAGATGGGATTCATCTGAACCACAATGAAATCAAAGTGTAAAGATTAAGCTTTTAATGCAAAATGAACATGTGACTCAAAGCTCTCTGGTGCTTTCTGGTTCTTGAATAGAAACTGCTTTTGCAAATAAGATATTTCTTTAAGACTGACTGAACTCTTAGCTAGACAGAAATCTTTTATTTGCATCCTATTATTGACCAATTTTTTTAATGTTCATTTTCATAACAGGAACCAAGAGCAGCTATAGATTAAACAAACCTACGAAACCATCTGATTTAATTTCACCACTGTGAAATGTGGTCAGAGATGCATTTGCACAAAGACATTAACCAGTATGACTCCAGCCTCAGCTTAAAGAGTCAAGAAGGGTAGTGAAAAGGACAGTGGAGAAGGAGAGAATGAATGGGAGAAGGCAAAGGTGCAAAGAAAAATACTGATGTGGGGCACCCCAAATCACTGCTGTGAATGAACCAGATAACACCTTCATGGAAAGAATAGAAGTATACTACAAATACCAATCGCGCCAGCCTAGCATTCCTACACAGTTACTGCTGCAACACAATTAATGTGGTATTAAATTATTGCTTCAAGTAAGAGCAACAAGTGTTTATAAAAATGAGCTGATTTCAAATAAAAACTTATTTCACAGTTCAGTCTTAAAGATCATAAAAGTCGGGCATCATAACAAAAGCAAATGTAAGCCTTACATCCCAAATCTGTCATCTCCAAGTTTCCTCTGCATGGTGTCAATCAATAAAAAACAGCATTTCCTTCAAAGACTCAGCTGGATGAGAAAGTCCAGCTCTTCTGACACAATGCTGGCCAATCCTACTGGTTGAAGAACAAACAGAGTTTCTGAGAGAAACAATTTTTAGGCAATTAAGATGCTATCCCTCCAGAGTTCCCAGAAAAATCAGAGATTATGATATCCAGAAGAAAATAAAGGTTGAATTTTTATCACACATGTAGAGAAAAGCTGAGATGAGTTATGGAGTAGGGAAAGCTTATATTCTGGGCCCTGATTTTGTTTTGTGAACAAAACGAAACAGACAGCTTCTTGGGTATGGAAGTGAATGCTGGATTTAGAGACAGAAACACAACTTTGCCACTTCCTAAATTACTCACTATGTTATCCAATTATAATCCAAGACAGGACATAAAAGTCATTTATTCTGAATGCTGACCTCTAACTACTACTGCACTAGACACTGAAGTCCAAGAGATCGTCTTTATCTCCACTCCTACATTGCTTGTCGGGTTTGAGACAAGTGCATGTGTGCATATCTAAAACAAAAAGCATGTTTTCAGCAAAGCTAGGAAGCAATTACATGGCAATATGGAAACAAATGTGAAATGCAAACAATATGTTCTATAGTAAAATTTAAGGGAATTCAAAGTTCAGGTAAGACACATTTAAGAAGGGCAAGACTAAGTTCCAAGGTAGAAAACAGGGTCCCTTCCATCTCAGAGAGCCTCTGGATCCTCAGTGCTGCTCTCAGCTAGCTGTCCACTCTTCTCGCTTAGGTGTGAGCAAAGTCTTTAAGGTATTCCCTCCTAGGAACTCACATAGATGTAGTCAAAGTCCTGAACTTTGATTTGGGAAAAAGCCAAGATGTTCAACTAGACACTGCCAGGAAGAGCATCTCCCACCACAAGACAAGACCATCAAGCAGACCAGCATACTCCCAGCAGATCATCAGAAATAAGAAAGGCATTGAGAGTATACCAAGGGAACACATAGACCCTGGGCTGAAGGGGAAGGAAGCTGGGAACCCTGCACAGGACTACAGAGCACCAGGACTTGTTCCTGACCCCCAGTGGCTACTGGGTATGGTGTGAGTTAAACAGGTGAGGAGTGGCCCATTCTCACCAGGGACCTCCAGAATTCTAGCTGCAGGAGACCCCACGACCCTCATGGGCATTTGAGCTGACAAAGAGAGCTTCTTGGAGAAGTGGCAGGATGGAACTCCAGCTTGTGATGAGGCAAGAAGGTTTGGCATGGAACAGCTGGGGTGGAGGACTGGCTATGGACACCCATACCCCAAGGCTCACCAAGCTCCTCGAGGTGGTTTGGCTTTTGTTGACTGATGGACCTGGACAGAACATGGCTATCTCGTCTATGGGATGGGACCAGTCTGATTTGAGTAACCCACATTCTGTCCACTTCTTTCAGGTTCTCTGCCCAACAGTACCCACTTGCAAAGAAGCCTCAGATGCCAGAAGGGAGCACTTCGCATTGGCCTCACCATAGCTCCTTCACAGGCTGACCTTACCTACCACAGTGCACACCCACTCATGGCCTCCCCGCATCGCCTTGCTGGCACACACTCACCTGCAGCCCCCACCTACAACTAATCCACCACTAGGCACTGAAGGAACATACCTCAAAATAATAAAAGCCATCTATGACAAACCCACAGCTATCATCATACTAAATGGGCAAACACTGGAAGCATTCCCCTTGAGAACCAGAACAACAAAAGGAGGCCCACTCTCACCACTCCTGTTCAACGTAGTACTGGAAATCCTAGCCAGAGCAATCAGGCAAGAGAAAGAAATAAAAGGCATTCAAATAGGAAGAGAGGAAATCAAACTATCTCTCTGCAGATAATATGATTCTATATCTAGAAAACTCCACAGTCTATGCCCAAAAGCTCCCAGCTATGATAAACAACTATAGCAAAGTTTCAGAATACAAAAACAATGCACGAAAATCAGTAGCAATTCTACACATCAACACTATCCCAGCTGAGAGCCAAATCAAGAACACAGTCCCATTCACAATAGCCACACAAAAAATAAAATACCTAGGAATAGAGCTAACCAGGGAGGCAAAAAATCTCTATAACAAGAATTACAAAACTCTGCTCAGAGACAACACAAACAAATAGAAATACTTTCTGCACTCATGGATAGGAAGAATCAATATGGTTAAAATGGCCATACTGCCCAAAGCAACTTACAGATTTAGTGCTATTCCTATCAAACTTTTACAGAATTAGAAAAATTCTAATTTTTTACAGAATTAGAAAAACCTATTCCAAAATTCATGTGGAACCAAAAAAGAGCCCGAATACCCAAAACAATCCTAAGCAAAAATAACCAAGCTGGAGGCATCATACTGCCCAACTTCAAACTACACTGCAAGGCTACAGTAACCAAAACAGCATGGTAATGGTACA